CCAACACCCTGTGGTGCCAAGATACCTCTTCTAAGTTTTGCAACAGTATTCGGTCATGTGACCTATTTGTTCAATACTGTATGTATGTATCTGTGTCAGTGTAAACTACTTGTACCTGATGATGACAAAACTTTGTCGAAACGTTGTACATTTGCTGTTATGTTAAACTTATAATAAAGTTTTTCTTCATTACCCATTCAAGCCGTCTCAGTGCGTTATTAGTCTCAAAGTGGGTTCTTCGTCATCGAATATGAATGAAAAGGGTTAGCTTTAAGACGTTTTTTTAAATTTATTTATTAATAGTTCTAGTTTAGTCTAGAGGATGGGGCAGCCGAGATGAACCAATAGGTCCCATGTTGTCCAAAAACATTATGTTATATGCTATGTTATGTTATATTGAAAACCATTGTGTCTGTCTGAGCGTTCGTCTGTCTCCCGTTTAAAAAGCTGCTCACGCAGGCAAAGCTCGACATTCGCTTTTGAAATGACGGAAGAACAGGCATGAATAATGTTGATGCCAAATTTTATTTTGCAATCAGGATATTCAATAATAAATTGTTAGGAACAGCCGAGATGTACCAATAGGTCTCATGGTATCCCAAAACAGTATGTTATGTTATATTTGTTAAAATCTTACGTAATAATGATAATTAAGTATATGTGAAACATGAGATAAAGTAATATGTGTAAATTATTTTGTTACAAATTAGTAAAAGTGTTAATGCATAATAAACGTTTTATTGACGATGTAAAATGTTGTAAAAGTTTTAATTATTGAATGATATTGCCCTTGTTAGGGTGATTTAAACCTACAGTCGTGTATTGTGTGCCTGGTAAAATGCATGTTGTGATCATGTTACGTTAAATAATATATTTGACAATTTGTTATATCACTGAAAATCTTTAAACGCTTGGTTGATAATTAAAAGAGTAAGTTTTAATTAAGTTATCGTCCTTTTAGGACAGGAAATTTAATTAACTGATGAATTAGCATTAAGTATCTTATTTATGACGATTTAATTAACTAATGTTAAGCCTCCTTTTTAGGACGAATTAATTATAATTGATTTAATCAACTATCGAATTAGTGATTAATTGTATTCTTGTTGAGACATGTATCGTAAGAGTCATGGCTGGCAGTCATGGTGGCTTACAAACACCTTGTCTATTTTGTAGTAGGATGATTTAATTATTAATTAATTAACAAATGAGTTAGTGTTCACTGTGATTTTTAGGATTAACTAATTAGTTAAGCATCTTTTTAGGACGAATTAATTATAATTGATTTAATGAATTAATTATAATTTATTTAATGAATTAGTGTTAAGCGTCCTCTTTATGACGATTTAATTAACTATAGAATTAGTGATTACTTATATTCTTGTTGTGACATGTATTGTATGAGTCATGACCGCCTAGAAACACATTCTCAACCTAGTGGTACTTTTACGCAATCATTCATTATTTCCGCCTGTCATGGCGGCCTAGTAACGCGTACCTAACAATGCTCCCTTTGATGGCAGCTTTTCGAATTATGACGTATTCAACTTCGATAACACCCCCCCCCCGCCCTCGACACGCATGTAGCGCCTTCTGGCGGCGTACCATGCAAGTGAGGGGCTTACTACCTAAGTTGAAGGCAGTGATTAAAGTTGTAAGGTGTCGGTATCAGTCAAATTTCATCTGAGAAATTGAGAATATAACTTAGCAAAATATCTTGTTTCATACTTTTTATATGCATTAAGGTGTCGGTATCAGTCAAATTTCATCTGAGAAATTGAGAATATAACTTAGCAAAAACTTAGTTTCAAACTTTTTATATGCTGTTATATAGCGAGTCGCACATTTTTAAAGAGGGAAAAATTTTGTAAAGGACAATTTTACTACTACTTGATTGCTTTGGGTGGTGGTGAATGCGGACTCTCCTGTCGTCCAGAGGATGTCAATATTAAGGTAAATTTCATGCGAAAAATCAGTAATAAATCTAAACGAGAAGTTCTGGAAGCTTAAAGGACGTTCTATGTGGCTAAACTGCAGCACAATGTTTAGAAAAAAATGTTCGGGAAAATATCAAATCTTCATTTCTTATTGTAAAGGATAAGGGACTTTGTTCTAGACCCCTGAAAGGTGTCAGTATCAGTCAAATGTCATTTCAGAAATTAGGAATATAACTAAGCAACAGATTATGAGTTTGAAATATTTCTATGTAGCTAAATGCCCAGTCGCACATTTTGAAAGGAGGGGAAATTTTGTAGAGATAAATATTCCTACCACTTGATTCTTAGGGGTGGTGGGGTTCCTTTGTGGGTACGAGATCACTACAATTTTTTATTGATGGTGTAGAGGAGATACCAAAATATTGTTATTGAATTTGTAAAAGACATTCTTTGAGGCAAGTTTAAGTTACTCAGCTGCACATTAAGTTTGAAGAAACTTTTGAGAAAACCATCATGTTTTTACGTCTTCTATACAATGGAGATGGGTCTTCTTTTAGAGTCCATGACTTCCTGTGTGGGTACGGAATCACTCACGTTTTTATATGGTGGTGTAAAAGAGGCACCAAAATATTGTCGATGAAATATTAAGAGATATTAGGCAAAATTAAGTCATTGACTCAGTCGCACATTCAACTTGAAGACTTTTTAGAAAATAATTCTTTTCTCCTCTTCTATAGAATGGAGCTGGAAGTATAAGAGACCCAGCCGTACATTCGGTTTTGCCAAACAACTTGTATCACGTAGCCTATTATTGTAATTTTCTATAATACTTTAACACCTCCCGTTTCTTTCCCCAAGACGGTGGGAAATTATACTGTAAAATAAATCTTCAAAGCTGATGAATCTTTATTGTGACAGAACCACTTTTCGAGGCTGTAACTTTGTGAGGTTAACTACTTTTCCTTCTGACAGATTCATCACAAATAATACCCGTCGTGTGCTAACCGAACCTCTAGTGAGAAGCGAAAATTTCAATGATTCCCTAATACCACTGTACTTACACTAATTTTGCTAATGATCAAATGTGAATCCTTTTCAATGTGCGGCTCACTTTACTGTAACGTGTGAAATAGACGTGCATTAGTTTCAGGTTTGTAAAGTTAGGTCTAAAAATTAACCTATAGCAAAGGTTATTGAAACAATAAATGAGTTCGTTATGATTGCGTGAACAGGGCTTTGTATTCTTTTTATCAAATAATCCAAAAAAGATTATTCAACGATAAATGTTACAACAATATGAATATATCTCTATTCATATAATTTTCAAAAACTATGGTACGGGTTTCTGTAATTAATTACAAATTTTAAGCAAACAGGATACGCTCAGACTTGAACTCACTAATCTTGCTTTAGGTATATTCTAATTTAAAGTTAAGGAATTGTCTTTTTTTATCTGGCTTGCTTGCTGGATGATTTGTTGAATGAGATTCAATAGGTTGTTTTTGAGGCTAGAGAAATCAGAAACTCTGGTCTCCCCTTTCTGTTATCGTGCTTGTCTGGTTACGTAGCATTCTGGAAAGTCCTAGTGATTTATTGACTTATAATTTTAAACATAATTTAGTTATCTTTCAGAAGTATGTTTAACAGATCTTGGTTTTCCTATTGTAGTGCAGTTCATTGTTTCTTTATAAGCCTTAAAGAAAAACTCGACCATAAAATAAAATAATAATTATTAAAAACGTCTTTGTAAAAACCACATGTTACATTTGGTAGTATATTTGAGCTAAATTAAAATGGTTTGTCTCTTGCTAAATTTGTTAGCTTCTTTATTTTAGTTTAAGTCTAACTTATCCAAAATCCTGCATTACAAATACGGATGTATTGTTTTTGGTTTTAATAGCATACATATTGGTTTTAGGTGTACTACCAAATACCACGACATCACCGATAGGTCAACACTGCCTGTAAAAACGGAACATTTTTGTTGATATTCCAGGGGCTATAAGCCTGTCAGTATTTTTCGTCCAAGAGGCTGGAGGTCAATCAGGTGTCTGAAGTTTAAGAGTACTTTTACTTTGTGTGTTCTACTGTTTGGTCCCTTTGAATGATAAGAGTGCTTTATAGTTTTAGGTGAAATTAAGCTGAGTATTAAATGTATATCTGGTGCATGAAATGGACACCTTAAGCAGATATCAAAATTTAATTCAGATATTTTTTATATCTCTATTTTATTCAATAAAACCTGCAATTTCAATTTTTAGAAGTTAACCAATAAGAATGAAAATTATAGTGCCTTATTTCCTATTTTTGTGAATCAAATATTATATTTTTTGCGTGCGCAAGTTTAATTGCAAGCAATGTTGGTGTAAAACTGACGGTATTATCATAATTACTAACAATGTTATTGCTCAATCAAATATCTCAAACTATCAAAAAAGGCAAGATGACTTTGACACAGCAACAAATTATTGGTTAAAGTAATGTGAATATTAATAACAATTCTTAAAAATCAAATTCAAAAATAGATGGCCATATAAGAGAGTTTGAGAAAACGGAAAGATCAAGGATCTTTAATGGACATTGCTTATGCTTCAGGACCGTCATCCTTCTTTGCAGTTTTTGAATGTTTTTCAGGTAAATTAATTGAAAAAAATGTTTTTAAATTATATTTATGTACTTCTAAGATCAGAGGCTCAAAACCTGTTTTGAAATAAATTTGGAACCGACTGTAAAGCTATTTAAATGCAGTTTATTTTACAACTGGCATAACATGACAAAACATTTAATTAATTTATCAGCAGAAAACAGCTCTATACATCAAAATATAAAATATTTGGATACTAAATCAATTGTTATGTAAACAATACTGATTCAGATCATACATTAGATATTCTCTTGCGGACAAGCTTGAAGGTTACGTTTAAAACTTGTCAACATTTTGTCACGAAAGTTTTGTTAATATTACTATGACAGATATTGAGAAATACAAAATTATTTTTTTTTACAAAATAAAGCATTTAAGTAAGTAATTCTTAACAATTCTTAATAATCTAATAGGTAATATTTTGTAATACATGGGTTTGATTTCGCAAACAAATGAAAGGCTTATATAATATCATAATTAGTCACTAGATGGCACAACATGGTTATGGCTTACGTTTGAGATATATGTGATGACTTTCAAACTTGAAACTAAAGGCAAAAGCGTAAAGTAAAAACAATCGAAACTAAACAATACCTACATAAGGATGACATATATCCTTTTCTGCAACTTAAGAAAATTCCTCATAGCAATAAAATTATACTATTTTCAAACTTCTCTTGCTATAAAACTTAGAATTAAATCTACATTAAGAGACAAAGGCTTAAGAAATCAGTATTAAATACATGTACTCTTTTTTTTTTTGCTTATATTCTACATTCTAAACATTTGTGGACTTCTCTGATAAGGTTTGAATAAATGTTGTCGCTAGAAAGGATAATTACAGTAACACTATTGCTGTCACACAAACACTAATAAGATCAAAAATTAGAGCACAGACGTTTGACGTTAATCACAGCATTAGCTCAGATTTGAAGTGGACAGTGTGGCCGACTTTACATTCATGCTTAGCCTTAGCTGTTATTTGAACTGGCCATTGTTACCAGCTTTAGATTCATGCACAGCATTAGCTCAGATTTGAAGTGGACAGTGTGGCCGACTTTACATTCATGCTTAGCCTTAGCTTGTATTTGAACTGGCCATTGTTACCAGCTTTAGATTCATGCACAGCATTAGCTCAGATTTGAAGTAGACAGTGTGGCCGACTTTACATTCATGCTTAGCCTTAGCTGTTATTTGAACTGGCAATTGTTACCAGCTTTAGATTCATGCACAGCATTAGCTCAGATTTGAAGTGGACAGTGTGGCCGACTTTACATTCATGCTTAGCCTTAGCTGTTATTTGAACTGGCCATTGTTACCAGCTTTAGATTCATGCACAGCATTAGCTCAGATTTGAAGTGAACAGTGTGGCCGACTTTACATTCATGTTTAGCCTTAGCTGTTATTTGAACTGGCCATTGTTACCAGCTTTAGATTCAAGCACAGCAATAGCTCAGATTTGAAGTGGACAATGTGGCCGACTTTACATTCATGCTTAGCCTTAGCTGTTATTTGAACTGGCCATTGTTACCAGCTTTAGATTCATGCACAGCATTAGCTCAGATTTGAAGTAGACAGTGTGGCCGACTTTACATTCATGCTTAGCCTTAGCTTGTATTTGAACTGGCCATTGTTACCAGCTTTAGATTCATGCAGATTTGAAATAAACAACGTTGTAAACTTTAGATTCGTGCATAGCATTAGTTCAGTTTAAGGTGGAAAAAGTTACCTTCTTTGAATTGAAATTTTCATAAGATCAAAACGTTGACTTCCCTAAATTTTCCGAAGAAACAGCCCACAGAACTACACAGTCAAACGTTCCACTTTCTGCCTGAAATTTTACTGAAAATGAAAGCAAAATCCGTACAAGTTGTCATGATTTACTAGTACAGTTTCGGATAGCAAGTATTATCTTGAGTGGATTGATGACTTTACTTGCCCGATAGGGAGACTTCTAAACTCAGTTCAAACTATTCATGATTCCAATATGCTACTTTATTTCACAACATGAGAAAATGTTGCCACTTTTTTTGAATTGACACTAAAAGCATGGAATTAAATATTTTAAAAAATAGTTCTTAATGAAAACGTATATATTTTATCTTTAAGTAAGGTCTACAAATTTTCTATACGAGTAAGATCACAGATTTTGCCTATACGTTAGGTTCCACAGATTTTGGTTATACGGGTACGATCCACAGTTTTGCCTGTAATATACGAGTAAGGTCCACAGATTTTGGCTATATGAATACGGTCCCATATTAACTAATCTCTCTACCAGAAAAACAAAACACACACACACAAAAAAAAACGTTTTGCGGTAAATTTCTAACAAGAGTATATTTCTAATTTATTTACCACTAATATGACTTCTTACTGTCCTTTAATCTTTCAATAATATTAAACATTAATCGTTACTCTACCATCAAAACTCATTTGTATTTAAACCATTATCTACACCTATACATATATACATATACACAGTTTTCTCACTAATTGATTTCAATAATACCCACAAAAAATAATATGGACGATTTTGCAGAAATATTTCAAAATGTCAGCAGTTCTGAAAAGTCTAATGGAAATAGTTATTTAATAATATTTTATAAACAAGAAGCGTGTGTTTTTACAAACATAAAATAATGTTATAATCATGCTGATACGAGAACTTCTAAACAACCAGACTAGATATACGTATCCGAGTGCATAGATTGTTTACTTCTACATCATGGCTTAAGTTTTTATATCCAAATAAAATGTTTGGCGCAAACAAAATAAAACATTCTAAAAATCCAGTGTATACTCATATATAAAATTGCAATATAGAAAATAACTATGCCAGGATAAGTACGAAATAGAAACGTATCTATACTTAATACACTGCTATTTCAATAAATGATACGGACTTTCAATGGTAATGATAATGCTCGTTGATTGGATTAATCTCAAAGAAACATTCATTACCTAATGATGAATATCATGAAACATGATATAACAGAGATACCAATTACCTAATTATGACCATCATTAGACATGATCTAAAAGAGACAGCTCTTACTGAATGATGACCGTCATTAGACATGATCTAAAAGAGACACCTATTACCTAATGATGACCGTCATTAGACCTGATCTAAAAGAGACAGCTCTTACTGAATGATGACCGTCATTAGACATGATCTAAAAGAGAAACCTATTACCTAATGATGACCTCCATTAGACCTGATCCGACAGAGACAACTATTACCTAATGATGACCGCCATAAGACACGATCTAAAAGAGACACCTATTACCTAATGAACCTCCAGAAGACACGATCGAAAAGAGAAACCTATTACCTAATGATGGCCGCCATTAGACATGATCCGAAAGAGACACCTATTACCTAATGATGACCGCCATTAGACCTGATCTGAAAGAGACTCCTATTACCTAATGATGACCGCCATTAGACATGATCCGAAAGAGACACCTATTACCTAATGATGACCGCCATTAGACCTGGTCCGAAAGAGACACCTATTACCTAATGATGACCTCCATTAAACCTGATCCGACAGAGACAACTATTACCTAATGATGACCGCCATTATACATGATCTAAAAGAGACACCTGTTACTTAATAATGACCGCCGTAAGACACGATCTAAAAGAGACACCTATTACCTAATGAACCTCCATTAGGCACGATCTAAAAGAGAAACCTATTACCTAATGAACCGCCATTACACATGATCTAAGAGAGACGTATATTACCTAATAATGACCATGATTAGTCACGATCTTAAAGAGACATGTATTACCCAATGATGACCATGATTAGCCACTCTTAAAGAGACATGTATTACCCAATAATGACCATGATTAGCCACGATCTTAAAGATGAATAAAGGTCCATATTAGTCGTGATATCAAGAAGAGACTCATTCTATCAATCAACCATTGCTACATATGTTTGCAAATCGTATGAGTCTTTTGAAAGCTAGATGGTTGAATTCATTGCCTTAGTTAAAATAGGTGGAAAGGCTGTTAAATTAATCATCACATAAAATGTTCGTCGTTCACCATGATTTTTTATAATTAGAATCTATACATTTCAAGAAGCCTTAGCGTGTATACGCAAAAACTTATCTCTTCTTTTTAGCTTGATCTTCGAATCGTTTAAAATACACAGATGAGCCTGTTCGTGAATTATATTTCCTATCCTTTTACAAATGACCCAAGTACTTCACGTGGCAAGTTTGTGAGTTTTATTCACAACCAAATGAAAGATTATGTCAAAAACAGCAAGGTTTGAATTTATATATATGATTCCTTAAAACCTCGGTCTGAGTGATCTATAAACTCCAACTCCCTGCTCGCAGGATAGAATAAAAAAAAATTGTACAATGAACTGTAAACTTAAGGATTTCAGTGAAATAAACACCATTTAAATAAGGCGAGAAAGGTCATACAAAAAGATACTACAGCATTCTCTGTTTATAGCCACAAAAAAGTCCAATAAATATAGCTGGTTATCTCTTTTTAACAGTATTAATTACTGGTTAATATTACATTAGAGCGAGCTCATGCTAAATGCTTTAACTCTTTTGTAGAATAAAAACATTTCTTAACTTATAACAAATATAAAACAAAATCTTCGTCGTAGTATTTGCGATAAGTATAGATTTAAAAATTTAAAAAAAAATTAGCGACATTCATCCAAATATAGTAGGAACACTAATTCAGCACCATCATTTAACCTCGCTAGATGACGCCACAGTCAAAAATGTTGTTTTTTGAAAGAAAATTTCGTTTTTTTTACGTACAAGATTATCTGATATTCAAATGAAGATGGTTTAATAATTTAAAGCTTTTGCTGATATAAATGTTATCTTTTCGTTCTTTTGACATTTAGTCATATAGATTTACTTTAGGAAGTACATAAGGAGCAACACTATATAACAATTCTGCATACCAGTGAATCCCTTTCTGATGGCTTTTGTCTCTTTTGTTCAAAACAGTTCTTTCTGAAAGAATGTGAAGCCGTTGCAGAATATGGAAGATTGAGTCTTTCAAATTTTTTATTAATCTCACTGGTCCAAATGACCAGTGTGCTAAAGATTGATCGTCAATAATTGCATAGCAGGATGCCAATACGTTATCCACAATCAAGTTACCCTCTCTGGTAAGAGGTGCCACAACGCCAACATCAGTCCTGACGTTCACATGTTTCACTCGTTGCAGTTGCAGTTCATGTTGCGCAGTTCGCATGTGTACATAAATGAAGTCTCCAGGTTCTACGTTTCTGGCATAAGTAACAGAACTGTTTGACATATTTTCTACACTAGAGTTCGCTGTCACTAAATATATAAGATGATTGGGTGTAAGAGTTATCTTAATTCCTTCTTCCGTCACAATAACATAAAATTGGCGTTTAGATTCTGTGTCACGGTCTAAGAAGAGGAGAACCTCACTAAAAACAGGATGTCCAAAGCGGTCGACAGCTAGGACTTCATCACCAACTCGAACCTCAGAAAGCCGCAGAAGTCCCTTTCTAGTCGTCACCACGCCATTTCCGTGGAAACATCCTCCAGATCTTGCTTCATCGGTGGATTCTGTAGAAAAGAATGAAAGAGATTAATGGATGCTTCTGTCAAATGTATTTATTATCCCGAGCGATAATTTCTACGCGATAATTGCCATTCATTGCAGTAACACACTGACAAATTTAGACCTTAAAATAGGTGATTGTAGTCACCCTGAGGGGTGTTTGATGATTGAACAACGATACGCTATCTGAGACTTCCCAGATGCCCCTCACCTCGAGCGGTTTCCCACGAAATGAAATGACATGGTCTTCCCATGTTCTACTTTATGCAAATTCAGACCTCACACTTGGAGCTCTACAATACAAAAACTTACAGTAAAAGTGCTCTATACATCACAATATTGCAAAAGAGATAACTATAAAATAAAACTAGAAACACTCTCTCCTGTTTTTGGTCTATAAGGAACTGCGCAATACATAAAAAAGTTAAAGTTTATAAAAGCTGGCAACAAGAAGTAAAGGTTTCGTAAAAATAAATAAAAGAGATTCTCTAACATACTACGATTGGCAACGTTGGATACGTTTGGAGTTGCATAAAATCCGTCCTCAGCTTATCACGAAATTCCCTTCTTACGTGGAGAAAAAATTTTCAAGTCAATTTTCAATCCAACTACAACTGAATGGAAATTCTGTGTAAAATATAAATATTTAGCAATCCTTTTATTCATTCTTTAGCGAATCTAGGTAAATGTTTATATCTAAAACATCAGGAAATGGGTTTATGTAAATACTGTTTAGCTTAACTATTTCAGTGGTTTTTGGACCTTCATCGCTTTGTACTACACAGAGAAGTTACGTGTTTTAAAACGGTAACTAGAAGCTTGATTCAATATTTTTTTTTTAAAAACAATTTAAAGTTTAGTACATGTGGGAAAATGTGGATCGTTACTTTTTTTCATATACATAAGCAGAGACCTTTTGAGCCAGAACCATAAAATATGTAAACAAGAAACTTTTGGGATATATAATTTTCATATTTCAACGAAGCACTATCTATAAGGTAACGCTAAGCAACCATTTTCCACCAAAAGTGCTGAGTAAACACCTTTCATGAGATGGTGCTGAATATAGTCTTCCTATAAGATGACTAGGTAAACTTTACCCGAACAGCTTTGCTAAGTACTTTTAGGCTGGACAGTCTTGTAAACTTAGTGACTTTTTTTGGGATTTCACATGTATCCTAAACTAGACAGATAAGGTCTGAAGAGAAATAAATATGATTTGATTTTTTAAGATGATGCTAGGTACACTTACATAACCACTTCTTGCAAGATGGCGAAGCAACATATACACAGACAAGTCAAAGTAATCTAACATTGATTGCCTGTTTTGACGCAACACTACAGAATGGGCTATCAGTACTGCTCCGCCATGGAATCAAACCCCGAATTATAGCATTAGACGTCCTCAATCTTACCGCTGAGCCACCAAGTGACGTTGTTGTTATTTAAGTAAAGCCACATTGGGTTATCTGCTGTGTCCACCGTGGGGAACCGAACCCCGAATTTTAGCATTGTAAGTCCATAGTCTTACCGGGGGACCCAAAGGACAATTACGTTAGCTACCCAAAGACTGCAACATTTACCGAAAAGGGTAGTAAGAACAAATAATTTTATCTAATAATAAGATAGTCCGCAGCTTTCTTGCTGATAAAGTCGTACTTACATGTATGTAAACAAAAATATTCAAACTTTTAACTTTTATGATCAGAGCCATAATCAGAACTTATGAAATCATGAAATCCCTGCACAGAAATAAACGCCAGATCAATCTGCACGACAAATTTGTTACTAGAAGACCTGTGTGCCTTATCCAAACATTTTTTTCGTACAAATTTACCTGGAAACCAAGCCCTATTACTTCTCCACCCCAACTGCGTTTTAAGGGTGTTAACCTACACTCGAGCCCTGTAATTGCTGAGGTAAAGCTAAACATAAGGGATTGTTGGATTTTTGTACCTTGATAGTGTTCCCAGTGGTTAAAAGATACTATCTTACAATGGAACAGTCGTGCAAGAAGACCAGAATGTCACCAGGGGTCGCAAGGCGGTTTGAAGCTCAAGAAATTATACACATGTGAAAATAACGTATGCATTTGGTTGTTGAAGGGTTGTGTTTCACAACTGATAGATGACCGAGAAAATTATTTGTTAAAAAAAAAGGGAACAGGAAAATCAATTCCGTAGCTATTCTGTGTAGTGTAGACATTTTCGAATGAAAAATTACTCTACCTCACCCAACTAAAACAAGGCTGCCCTGGCTAGCTCGCGGCGGCAGAGGGCGTAGGGGGCCTAGCACGGTAACGTGGAACCCGTTTATAGACCGCCCGTGAGCATACCACGATCTACCCGGTCCATCATGTTAATATGAGTAGTAGGGAGGAAACCAACTGTTATAGTCGCGCGTTAACCGATCGTTAGCACAACCTCACACGATGCTTATTTGATTCGACTACTTTCCGCGAGAGGGCGCAGTGAATCAGAGTCAAGTGTAAAATGCCTTAAAGGATAGTTAGTAAATAACCATTTCATGAAGTCTGTTTCTAGTGGATCTCATTTATTAATCAACATTTTATTTATGTGGTTAGTTCTTTATGACAATAGGTGACATCAGTTAGTAAATATATGTATTTCTAACGTATTTTAAGAAATAGGTCAACTGAAGGGATTGGAAATCCCTACTACTTTAGCCTACTTGTCGCAAGTAAACATTCTGACAAATAGGCCACAGTAATTATGAAAAACCAAACATGATTATATATCATTATTTTAACATTTCAGTGCCAGGAGTCAGTATTATTTAAAGTTTACAGGTAATTATATACATATTTAGTATTAGAAAAATTAGGGAAAAGAGAGGGAGACTTTATTTGTAGTTAAGCACAAAGCTAAACAATGAGTTATCTTGCTGTGCCCATCATGGGTATCAAAACCTCAAGACTAATAACAAATAAACACGCAACTAAAGTTATAAATGCTTTAATCTTAAGCATTTCATGCATCTTCTTATTACAATTATTGTTTTTGTCCTTTAATCATCAATAAAAGAATAACACATATGTATACAATAAGGTTCACGTTTCTTAACTAACTAAGAAATGCGCTTCACAGTTCGTAATAGCGTTATTCATTAATGGTAACAAAGTGTTTTCATGAAAACCCTTGATATTATTGTATTATTAGTATGTTTATTTGTATAGGTATCATTAAACTTATGTAAAACGTTATGTGTGATCACATAAAATCCGAATACATTTCTTTCTTTAACTTATAAAATGCAGTTTTCAAGTTTATGCCTCTAATTTGGCGCAAATAAACGAAGCAACACGAATCAATCAATTTTTGTCAGCTAAACCTAAAAATGTTTCTAGGTAAGGCGTCATTTTACTTAAAAACTTAAAAATACACAGGTAAATTCATAAAGTTGTGAAAGATTGGTAAAGCATGGAAATTGGAGTCAGTTATTTTGATATGCCTTGCAAATACATATCCGAAGCAATAAATGTTTCTAGCAACATTAGTGTTTTAGTTCACAAAAAATTTCTAATAAGTTCCACGTGACAGACTTTCACAAAGTTTTATAAAGACTCTAACAATTAAAAAGAGACACAACCAGTCGTGACCAGTTATTACGCATAAGATGTCTAAATATCATATCACTGAAAACAAGAAAATCTAGCCATGACTAGTTATTATATATAAGTTATAGTATTAAGGCAACGTCTACACATAAACACATTTTAGAGCATGCAGTTATAAAGTCTGAAGTTTCTATATTTTCACATGTTCACTAAAGAGTCAAACTCGTTCTAAGGTACGCAGTTCCAATTTTTACTTCTGTACACGATCTTTTAAACTTTTTCGTGCCAAACTATACTGTAATTTCTTTGCATGTGTACATCTTACATACTTATATCACTGAGCCTTTTTTTTTTCTCTCGCAACACGTGCATATTTGACCCCACTCTTTGGGTAGTCACGATATGACCTTACAAAGAAGAAAATTTACGACTAATCTTCGTCGACCAGTAGGGTCTGCCACAAGGTATAGATACTAATCCCATTTCTTCGCTTTCTGTTGCGAAATAAAAGTACTTGCCGCCGCTGTCAACATGCTGTTTGTTTGGCAACATTCCCAAAATCCCCAGTAGAGGGCCTTTCTACTCCACTTCTAATTTGTTTCGCTTGGGGACTAGAATGTATGGCACCTTAACTTTCAAAAAATTAATTATTTTTCTTTATTGATGCGAGCGAGGTTAATAAGATTTATTTGATTATTTTTAATATAACCTACTTGCGTGAAATTATAGTCACGACGAATATTTTGTTAAAATAAACAACATCTATAACTGCGAATATGATCTTATATTTTCTCAGACATTTTGTAAAAACTAAATTTGTACTTGTGAGTTTCTGAAGTTTACTTCAACACGCGTATTGGGGTGAAAATAGTCTAAAATATGTGTGCAAATTTATTATCTAACGCCAGTTAAAAATGGCTGTAATATTAAAATTATTGTCCTTATGTTATGAAATATTCTATAATGAGGATCATTGTGCTTTCACAAGGATTTTTGCCATTGCTGCAGTGAATTAAGATGCTAAATGGCGTAATGTGCAGAAGTTGACTCAAAAATGCATAAAATAATTAAACTACGAACATTTTACAATATTGTGTTCTTTATGAAATCAAGAGAAACAAAAATAAATATTGTAACTCTATTTCAATTGAAATCTAGAATTACTAATGTTTTTCTAGAGTACTTGTTGCTTTCTTCAAATCTAACGAATTAGATATTGTGTGGCGACAGTTCATGACGTTTCGTCAAAATGTTCAACCGTCCTTTTCTAAAACAAAGGACAAAGTATAAGTACTAATATGTCTTTTCATTTCACGAAACGTTAATATTTTACATTTCACAGATTGCATTGAAAAAAAGCAAAAAGTTATTCATAAACAGCCATCGTTTTCTCTTTGTCTCGGCCCGGCATGGCCAAGTGGTTAGGGC